GTGAACGTGACGTGTGTGCTCAAGAAGATAGTCGCTTCGTTTAAAAGCTTTGCCACAGGTGAGGCAGACAAATCGCCTATGAGTATGCACATTCATGTGTCTTCGCAAGTTGGTTAAAAGTGTAAAACTCTTGTGACATATTGTACATGGAAACCTCTTCTGCTGTTGAAGATCCACACCCATCTTAATTGGTGTTGCTTTTCTGTAAAGTGAGCCCATTACTCTTGCTCTGGGTAGCTAGGATTAATACAAGAAAAATATCTTACTAAGACTGCCCTCATTCAGATTCTTGTTAATTCAAATGAAGCAAGCACATATACAAGTCTGTAGTGCACAGGTATAGATAATGGGGAAAATCCCAATATTTGGAACCATCATGCTGATGCTAAATTAGTATACATATGTTAAATTAATGATACTGGATGTCTTTTTTCTACAGATGTTCTTGAAAGTGTTATCAATATATATGATCATTTTTGGTTTGTGTACAATCACATCCTTGGGGAGTAATTTTTCACCAAATTTCAAATGCTAAACCCTACATGAAAACCAATCCATCTTTGTACTTTTTTACCAAAATAATCTACACCTTAAATTCCTTAATGCACATTTGAATCTTGAAATGAACAAAAAATGCTACCATCTCACTCTGGTATTTGACATTCCCTATTTGATTCACTAACATGTACATCCTTATGGCAGTTTCTAAAATGATTTTTCAAACTGTCACTTCTAGAAAATTCACTTTTGCAGACAGTACAGTGCCAGGTTTTATTGCGATGAACATTCATGTGCCTTGATAAATTGTTGACATGTTTGTAACTCTTCATACACAATGGGCATTGGTATTTCCCTACAATTTCCATATAATATCGGTGGTTTCCTTCACTGTCTGTATAATGATTTCTTCCATTACTCTGTGGAAAAATAAAAGATATGAAGAAACAAAGGCATATATGCATTCTACTTTTGAATATTCTTAGTATTTATTGCAAGATTCATATCTACTTTTTCTACAATCCAAGCCCCCACAGGTGGTATTACTTTTTTGCCACTTTAAAAAGTGTTGTTTTTTGTCAAAATTTATGATGTATTCCACATTTCATGCAGGTAAGTTAACAGTGACAGTCAAGAAATCCAGCTACTCTTTTAAAAGTCTTGGCTTATGCTGCTGAAATCATTAGCATTTTTCTTGTGACAGTATAGTTTTTGTATGGATTTTATGTTGTTAATACAGCTCCTTCACTTCTTTTTCCGTTTGTGGACATACTTCATGTGATTATCCTTCCTTTGCAATATAAAAGCTTGACAAATTTCACAGAAGAAAGATTTGTGCTTGTGAACTGTGTTTATATGGCGCAGAAGGTCATGCTTGAAATTAAATTCCTTGAGGCACATTGCACATGCAGGTTTTTTAGATGAATCTCCTGAGCTACACACTACACTGTGTTCTTCCTTGAGAAAATAAAATGAAATACTTCCATTAAACTACATTTGTCACCGTCATAAATGGTCTCCTTTTTTTTTTTTTTACACCACCAGCAAAAGATGCGGGTCACATAACGCTCACTGGTGGGTCACTTTTCCTGTTACTCGTTTCCTATTGTGGGCAAACTTCATGTGGTTATCTTTTCTCTGTAGTACAAATGCCTGACAAAGGTGGCAATAGTGGGGTTTTCTTTTATGCACCACATCCACATGTCTTGTCAACGAAGATTTACAAACAAATTTTTTCTTGCACTGGTTACAAGCTAATTTTTTCATCAAGTTTGATTTTTCAGCATTTTGGAGGAGAGAGCCCCCTGGATAAGGTGACACACCTGGTCCCCACCTTAACTCCTCAGAAACAGCATGCACCTGGTGGGTAAGAAAAGGGAAAATATCCATGTCCTGGCACAACATTAAGCACCAAAGAAACTAAAACTACTTTTTCTTTTGGGAAAAAAAGAATGTATTCTAGGGGCTTTGAATAAGGAAACTCACAACTGTTCAATGGTTTGGCTTATATTTCCCTTCTGTCATCTAATCTTGTCACAAAGCATAATGCAGCATGTATATATCATAATTTATATATTAAGTGAATAAAATATCAATAAAAAACTTAAATATTTGTACATACTGACAAAAACTATAAACAATTCATGCCTTAAGAAAATTCGACAAAAAGTATCAAACTATCCTGACCACAGAGTTTACACAGCATCCAAGCACAGAGCTCGTGTTCTTTTTCGGATTCTATTATTCTACTGTGGAACATCAGGCTTTTTAGTTGGTTTTATCTTATGAAATGATTTCATGTGATTATCTCTTCTTTGTAAAATAAAGGCATCACAGAGGTGACAAAAGAAAGTACGACTCCTATGAATAGTATTCTTATGCCGTGACAAACTTGTCCTGTCACTAAGTTCTTTATTACATATTTCACACATCCATTTCTTAGTATCAGACAGAGCCTCTTTCGTTGGGGTTGGGGTTGACAAGAACATTTCACTGTTCATCCCAAGGGTCTACATAAAAGAAATATGACAGTTATGCTACAGACACACTGAGCTTTGTATCGCATGTATTAGTTCATTCACTGGTTGAATGCTGTACAGTATGCAAAGCCTCTTGGTGCTCTTGTGCTAAATACACCAAATTTCATTGAACTGTGTCCTTTTATCATTGATATATAAGAGCATATTCCCTATCATTCATCTTTATTTGTATTACCCCTACAATTCACATATGCATCAGCGTATTTTTTGTACTATTATCACTAATTGATAGCCCTTTCACATTCACACTGGACCACACAATCTAGCACAATTCATCTAGCAGAGTTGTTTTTTTTCCCACACATTCAATAGGGGCTTAAAAATCTAAGCACAAATTTAGCACAATGATTTTCAATGGAGAGAGAGAGAGAGAGAGAGAGAGAGAGAGAAAGAGAGAGAGAGCAGAAAAATGGTATATTAGATGCATTCTCTGAGATTTTTGCAATGCACAGCATATATATACCAAGGACTTTACAGTGTAAAACCTAAGTGAAAATAAGTGTGATTTTGAATGCAATACTAGAGCTGATATCCACTGTTAAAGAAACCGAATAGGTCAATCCATGATTAGAATTTGTATTTGGGTGCATCTACCTGGAGTAAAATTTTCTATCAGGACACACCATGCAACAATTAACAAAGAAATAACTCTCGATAAAAAGTCATTAATCATTCCAAGTTGATACTTGCCCCATTGCTCTCATTATACTCAATTAATACTGGAAAATAATCCACAACTCAAAACAGAAGAATTCACTTTATTTTCCAAATAAAAAAATATTTACAAGGGTATATAAAATGTATATCAGCAACACAGAAAGCCTACCCCTAGATCATGTCTTTTCATACCATCATAAATGCCTATTTGCCAACCTAATAGCATGCGGTGTGGAATCTATATATTATTTATAGTAGTATAAATTTGATTTCTTCCAGCTGCAGCAGCAATTATATAACAATATAACCCAGACTAACAACTTATGCATGACCAGCTGTAGGTCATGGCAGCCCTGACTAGCAAATAATGTGGTAGAGATGGGCTTGGCGGGTGGCTGAGAAACTCCAAATTTTGGTCATTTTTTTCTTCTCCAAATTTGGAAGAAATAATAAAAGGAATGCACTTTTTTTTCATCTTTCAAATGAGAAATGATTCAAATTTTGGTTCAAGTTTGTGTTTTGTTTTGGCCAAAATTTTGTGACACCAGTGAACACCTGTGAGCACCTACAGACTGTACATGCAAGCATCAGCTGCCTTAAATATGGAGGGCAGCTACTAGGCTTGGGGGTCTAAGAAATCTGTCAGACACGAAACAAATATATTTAAATATATATACAGATACATATATTAATACTAAAGCTTTACTTCTATATTCATTACTCTCAGTTGTCACAAATATTTAAACAACAGAAGTTATTTTTTAAAATTTCAAAATATTAATGGCAACTTGCTGTTTACTTTTAATTCAAAATTTTCAAACCATTTAAAAATTAAATCAATTGACAATTTAAACAAAGTTTCAAAAGATCAGCCAATCCAAAGCCCATTTTCTGTAAAAGTCTATGTCTGTTATCTGCCTATCAATTTGCTGCTGTAAGTTTTTTTTTTTAATCTTGTTAATGACATACTTGCACAGTTTCTCTTAAATGAAGGGGTCACCCCGGGTGGAGTTTAATTATTTCCAGAAACAAAAGAAAAAGAAAAAGGTAAATAGTTCATTTCATACGGGCTGCATTGCTTATCTTTTGAGAGGACAGATTTCCTAAACCCCAAGCCAGGTTAAGGGAAAGAACAGAAACAGAGAGAATGTTCATATTAAAGTTAGAAACTGCGAGCTCAATAACCATCCCATTCCTTTAAAATAATGTCAACCTGTTAAGACATGATGACTTGACATTGGAACTGTAATACAATTTGATATCCAAGTGCCAAAAATAGTACACTGCAGTTTCCAGCTTTGAATTCATTTTTTTTTTTTTTTCAAAATACTAGGCAAATTTGATCTCAACTTAACAATTCCAAATAAATACCAAGGTTTTTCTGTCATTCTTTTTTTTTTTTTTTTTTTTTTTGTCAAATGTGCCTAGATATAGCAATACCCATCCATTCATCCAGGCACACTAGAGATTTATAGTGAAGTGTGGATGGATTCTTCATGGATGGATACAATTCAATGTAAAAGATACAAGCAGAAGCAAAGTGAGATTTCTTTCAATACAGTGAAGTTGTCATTTATTTCTCAAAAACTTTCGATAATGTATAAATGCAAATGACACACATCTTTTAGGCTATAACAATGAATTTATTGAAATAGGAATGCACCAGGACTACTACTTTTGAGGACGGCTCAACATTTTACAAAATTCCACATGCTGGATTGAACCTAGTTCTTGCACAACCAGAAATCTCTCCCACTTTGGCTTGTATCCCGAGTAAAATATTGGTACAAAAGGACTGGTACTTACATTTCTTGGTTTGGCAGGAGACTGTGTTTGAGAACTGCTGCCTTCACCAGCACTGTGATCAGGAGATTGCCAGTTGGGAATTAAAGAGTTATTTGGATCTGAGGGGAATGATAAAGAGTCTGATGCCTGACTGGGACCAGCACCTTCATGTTCTTCATTTGCTATAGAGAAAAAGTCTTGTATGAATGGAGTGGATTGTGCTTGATCATTGTCCGTGTTAAATGAAGACACCACCCCCGGTGCTATAAATGGCCCAGGAGGAATATCTTGACTTAAACTTTGGTCCCCCAAACTTTGGTGAGATTCACCGTCGTCTTTGTCAGAAAGTTCGACTACATCTTCCTCTTTTTTAATTTCTATTATCACATCTTTGGCATCAAAGGGGTTTGTGTTCATGTTGTCAGTATGACTGTTTGATTCTTGGGTATTTGAGCAATCAGATTCAGGCACAAGCTTTGGTCTTTTGGAAGCTGATGGGTCCATCACGTGAGGGGAGCCTGAAGCTGCACTTGGAGCCCCAGAAGCTGCACTTGGCTCAGATCTTTTTCCCAGCAACATTTCTGTACAACTGTCTTGGCGAAATTGTCTTTTGTGGTGCAACATCATCTTTTTCTGGTCTTCGACCAGCGTGAAATGTAGTCAGTTTTGTATGAGTGTTTCTATATTCTACTGAGGAAGGAGAAGTGAGATCTGGCAATGAAACGTGATCACTAATGTGGGGAATTGCCTGTAATGCAGGGTCATTAGTTTTTTCTTGAGAAACATTTCTTGGTTCTGAAATATATAGACTAGCAGAATCTTGAGCACCTTTTCTAAGAGTAGCACCATCATTTCTGTTTAAAAAAGTCTGCCTGTCAGGAAGCATGTGTCTTTGATGTGGAGAGATTGCTGCAGGTGGTGGTGGTTCAGTTCCACCCCCTGCATCCCCTTGATAAACTTTGAAAACTTTCATTATCTGAGCCACAAACCTCCCATCTTCATATCCAATTTCCAAATTTGAAAGTTCAAGTGAAACTACATTTTCTTGTTTGCTTTTCACTTCAATACTGTGTTGAAATTCACCTAAAGATAGATAATACAAAATTAATGCCAAATGAAAAGGTATAAAACTTTTCAAAGCTGCACACAAACATTGCACGAAACAATTTGCTAAATGCTTACATCTAAATTTCAATGGTTTCTGAGCACAAAAGTGTTTAATTCCACCAACTGTTTAACACTATGTAAGAAAAAAAAAAAAAGCTAATTGAACAAAGCAACTTGACACACACACAACAGCTTTTTTCATACCTTCTGTATTTGTTGCCACAAATTTGCACAGCTGGCTTTCGTTTAATGCAGCACATGTTTTAACCAGGTCCAGTGGCAAGTGTATGTCAAGCTTGGAAATCTTCAACATACTTATTTCTGAAAATTGAAATAATAATAATAATAATAATAATAATAATAATAGTAAAAATAATAATAACAATAATTCAACATACTCATTTCTGATAATTATAATATAATAAAATAAAAACAATTAGAGAAATGACACAAATTTAAAGTATTTGTTGAAAAAAGTCATTGATTAACTTCAGATGACTATAACCACAGATATGAGGAACTTAAATTTGACAAGTATTTTCTATCACCAAACTGCCTAAAAAAATTTCAAACTTGGATAAATTATAAATTAACATGAGAATTGATATCAAATGATGTTATTACATTACTGGTATGAAAAGTTAATAGATTAGATTAGGTGTGTGTGGGAGGGTGGGTGTGGGGAGGAGGGGGGTAGAAAAGAATGATCAATGGTTGGAGCTCATGGGCTGCTCCCTAACCTGAGTAAACATCAGCATTAAATATATAAACCTTTGTGTCCAAAGCGTGCATAAAACATTTACCCAGCAAAACCTTCAATCAAATGCTACTATCAACTTTGCTTTAAAAATAAACTTCACAAAGTCCCTCTTAGAGGTGCTGCACGTGAGAACAATGAGCCAACGGGCTTTGGGAAATTCCCACTTATGTAATCATATGCCGATTAGAGCGCCACCACTAATGGCGTCATGTGTCAATCATGCCGGTTTTTCCCCCAGAAGGAAGTCGCCATTTTTCAACCGAAAGACAAGAACAAAGAAAAATAGCAAAACTGATGTACTGTCGCCTTATTCCAAGAGCTGCGAATGAAAGGAATAGTTTTGTAAAATCTTAAGTAAAAATGATGTCTTCACATCGGTTAATTTTAAAACGGATACTTATGGGTTGGCGTGAGATCTTTTGTCCGTACAGCCCAAACCCCAAACAAACTGCAGCCAGCCGGATGCTGCACAAACACAACGATTACAGCAACCAGTTGCGTGAATGTCAATCGATTTTCATGTAACTAGCATCCAGAGAAAGCCATGATCATACCCATACCTTTTAAGTGGCGAAACACAGGCAATTTACGGTGAAATTTTTCAAATTTCACCAGTCGACAATGGTTCCGTGATCCTCCGCATTCCGTGTCTAGTCGAAACCTGTGACGTCAAGGACCGGTGCGATATCATGTGACCTGCACCAGCTGCCTGGCAAATCCGGTGGTCGATGGGCGGTACCATCTTGGCAATACTGCATAAATTATGCCGATGCTGGTGGCAAATGGTAGAAAAATATGTACCTCTCTCTCTTTGTTTTCTTTTTTCTTCTGTTTTATTGTGGAGATTGCAGAGTAAAATAGACGAGAATGCACCAATCGTAAAAAAAGGCAGATATACAGTAGAGACGAAAAAACCTTTCAAGTCCGTCAACAAATGCATTGTGGTAGCCTATCACCTGCATCCCTGATCCCTCGGCCCTACTAAAATGTACATGTACATTAACTACTCTCGCTTGATTTTTTGTTTGTCATGAAACAAATTATCTAAAATTGATTTTACCTGTACATTGGCCATATACTGGTACCGTCTAGGCATTATGCAAATGTTTTCATTAGAATATTTTAATATTAAGATATATTAATATTGCTCTTCTCGACCCCTTTCTGGTCAAGTGGGGTCGATAACTGGATGACATTCGTATATATATATATATATATTTGACCACCCTCCCCATCTCCTTTTTTTTTTTTTTTTTTTTTTTGCTGCCACCTCTTCCCCTTGGTCCCATCAAAAGCCAGGTTCTTTTTGCTTTAACTTGCATGTTTTTTATATATTGAGGTGAAAAAAGTTGTATCTTTTCTTAATTTGATGATCGATAAATGATCTAAGAGTCGTGAAGAGAACAATTTGTAAGCCCATGCCAAGTTTCAAGATATCCGCCGGGAAATTCCCACCTGAGGGCAGCACCGTATTGGGATTCCCTTACAACATGGCGTAAAGTTTGGTACCGCTACTGGTGCCGTAAGTTTTTTTTTTTTGTAATTTAACCTAGATGAGCATTGTTTTTTTCTGATTTTCTAAACCAGCATAATAATACCCTAGCAAAGGTTAATGTTGTGTGTGCAGCATATGTATATAGCTGAATGCTTCTGCAGAACGTGTTGGTTCAGTCAAAGCATAGAAGTACTGTAGAGAAAACACGACCTTCGATTCAAAGCATATTGCATCCTTTTCAACAAGGTTGTAACGATAATGATATCATACAACTGCTTTATTGAACCAGGGAATTATATCGTAGATGATATAATTCCCTGATTGCACCAAGGGTCAGTTAGGGTACATGTAGCACCAGGGTCTGTTAATTTAGGACACCGACTTTTACAATAATGTTTGGTGCACGTCGGTATGATATACATGTATCACTGTGTACTTGACACGTTTTTTTGTTGCTAGTAGCTATACAATTACTACTGGGGGTATATGGTTGACATGCCTGAATTCAAACTGTATCTCCATGGTATGTATATGGTATGTATATATACTTTCATAGTTGGTTGTTTAGACTGCAGCACTTAGAAGTCATGCATCCATCAATTAACAGTGAGCGACATGAAACAGGCACTTTTATAAAAACAAGCTGTGATCACTATGATTACGTATTAGTACATTTTGTACATTTTGTAATGACTGGCCTGAGTAGACCTGTCCTCAATAGCTCTATGGTGAGGGACTCACATGGTGAGCGAACGTCACAGATTTAATCCTCAGTCCAGTCAGGTATTTTCCCCCCAAAACAATGGACTCCATCTTTTAGCATTTGCAGGGTGGGGGGAGGGGGGGGGGAGAGTGTAGAGACTGCCCAGGAAAGAACTGGGTCCAGTAACTCGAAAGCATCGTGCATTGCGAGCAAGTGCAAGTGTGTCTCAATTCCATAACTCACCCATACTTGTCCCATATAATACATTGTAGCCTCTATGTGATATAACGCTATTCGCAATGTGCGATGGTTTTGAGATACGGGGCCCTGGACTTGATAGCTTGGAGGTCTTAGGTTGAGTCAGGTATTTTCTTCCACAACACTACAATTTTTATAAACATTGAATAATAACTCATTGTACCCTAGTCCCAAGGTCTGCTACATGTAGTTAAAATTGTCAACTGCACTGATCTACTAGTACCGTTACTAAATGGCAATTATAACTGCAGAGCAAACAAGTTTTAAGTCACTGCACGGAAACAAACTATTTACTCTTGGGTATGTGTGTTTGTATATGCCTAACATCACATTTTCTCTTCATTCTTACATATTACTACTATATTGCATCACTAGTCTGACTATATATATATATATATATATATATATATATATATATATATATATATATATATATATATATATATATCACTCTGACTATAATACTATAGGCCTGGGGAATTGATCACATGTGAACATTAACCAGGAAATACCCTGTAGAATTAATAAACACACTCCCATACATATATGCATGCATGCACACACATGCATAGACACATGCAAGCGCATGCACATGCATACACACACACACACACACACACACACACATAAACAAGAAACAATATAAACAAGATAAAATCTGATCAATTTTAACAAATTTAAAGAACTCTTAAATTTATCAAGTAGACTGTGTATTGGTTTTTCTACTTTGCAATCTTATGAACTGCAAGATAAAAGCTGGCATATTGGAATAGATATTTTCTGCTGCCTGAGATTTATGGCTAGGATTATTTATGTAAAAGTTATCTGAACGAGACAGCAGGTAGGAAAGAAGGGCCTATCTTCCGTTCAACAGTCTTTTTACATTGTAGGCAATTTTACTTCAGGCTACATTATATGGAGCAGCATGAATCACTTATGCCGTAGACTGCATTCAGATTCACACATTGTTCTAGCTGGGTTGGTCCAATTCTGTTGGTCCAATTCTTTCTTAAGTGCAATCAGTGGAATCCACTTAATTATCTGACACGCTTTCTTTGGCAGCTGGGGGAGGGGGGGGGATGAACTATCTTGTGCTTATTAAACTGGTTCCACTAAAATGCACTTTAGTGAGAAACTTCCAGAGAGTTGGACAGACCCAGCTAATACGATGGGTGGATATGAATGCACCCTTAGACCCCATTCCCATAGATTTTAGATCGATCTATCCCTGTGGGGAGTCTCATTAGATTACTGTCAGCTTAGCCGGCTTAAGCGTCTGTTCCGCCTACTAAAAGCTGTAAGGGGGTAATTAACTATGGTGCGTGCTCGGCTGACTGCAATTTAGCGTGAACCCCCAGGGAGTTAGGTCGATCTAAATCTCTGGATCACTCTAAATCTCTGGGAATGCACCCTTAGTCTTGGTCAAACCAACTTATCAAGGGGAACATTTCTAAGTTTGTCTGGTGTCTCTTAAATTATTATTTTGATAGCTTTTCAAACATATATTGATTGCAGAAAATTGATGCCATAAAAACTGTTAAAGATTTTAAGAGGTCTTATTTAACTTTTGTGTCAAGTAGGAATTAACATGTAAAAGCACTATGCAAGTATTTATTTTTTTTATGATACCACAGCATGTTCGCAATATAATATGCAGTTTTTGGGAATAATGCCATTGAAATATGATTTGTGCAGCTAATTTTTTATGATTTTGTTTGGCATTCCACAGGGATCTGCAAATCAAATAAATGCGGGTTCTTAGAAGAGGAGCTTTCCATTGTTATAGAGCTTTTTTCATCAACAACTCTGCTAAACGCCAGATCATTCAAAGAAACATGGCGGTAGAGGCAACTGGCATCAAGTTCCTTGGGTAAGTTTTCCTTGTTGTAATTGACATTGAAATTCAGTTAATCCAGGAAACCGAGAGAAAAAATTGAGAGAGAAAGAGAGATTTCCTGAGCCTGTAGATTGAAAGGATACCCAATTTTCATCATCTCAAATCTCTCCAAATCTTTTTTGAAATGGTGAAGGTATTAGCCCTTACTCAAGTGTTGAATTTTATGCAAGTTATAAATGAATGGAAGGCAGGCAACTGCACACTTGGCTTAATTAATTGAAGAAGACCATGTTTCTAAGCATTATGTATATGGTGCAAAGTATGTTTGGATATGGATCTTGATAGAGAGTTAGTCTGTAACAGTTTGTTAATGATTTGTTAACAGTGCATTAAATATTATTGTTTTTTTTTTACACCAAAGTTCATTTTCTTTCATTATCTTTACATTTTTTGTAGAAATAGGCTCATGATACCAAGATTTGCATTGGAATTAGTCCACACGTAAAATAAAAATCTACCCATTTAAGTTGCTGTTTTGTGGGCATCAGTTATCCATGATGATCACAATTAAAAGTATAAAGCTTTTTTTATGATCCTAACACTGTAGCAGTTTGTACTCATTTCAAATTGTGTTACCACAGGGTGCAGTGCAATGTGGTAGAACAGCCTGAAGATGTGAACACAACTAACACAATGTATATTTTTTCTTTTTGGCATTATGCCATTTAAAATTCTTTAATATTTTTTTACTGATAATAATATGTATATTTGTATTCATTTTAATAGTTAATGAGTTTTTCTTTATTTTTTCTTTTGTACACTTAGAAAATTGAATATAATTTAAAAAAAATTATATGAATTTAAAGTGGCATATTTAAACATTTTGATTTCTTCTTTTTTCATTTATCTTTTTTTATAGAAACATCTCTATAAAAGTTGCTGTCATTACAGTCAAGTGGATCTGAAGGACAGTTATATAAAATATAATTTAGCACTAATGACATATGCTAAGAATATGAAGAAAAAATATAAAGGATAATATATTTGTCTTTATTTTGCATTGCACTACACTTTTACCAAACTTTTGTTCCAGAAGAGCTTTCCCATGAATCTGGCTGTCAATATGTGGAATACCTAGTGGAGGCATCTGTCATAGTATTCTCCAGACATTTGTTTTCTGTGATGCAGCAAATGTGCAACAAATACCAGTATTTCACAGTTTCATAATTGACAAAATGGCTATTTATTCAATGTTTTCTGCTTAGTGGGTTTTTTGCTCACTTGTAACCAATACCCTTTTTTGGAAATCTGAGTTCTAGAGAGAACTTTGTTTCCCTAACCTAGATTAGGAATTAAGGAAGCACGACTTATTGCAA